CACCAATCGGAAAAGGTAATTACCGGTATGTAATTTCTCAGTAGGTAGTCATTTATTAGCATATTTTAGTAGTTCTTTGACGACTCAGATCCTCATCGTTTCCTTATGATCTAACGTCACGGGAGTAATGAAAAGTGGCTAATTGGCAATTAATTTTTACGCTATTAGCTTTTACGTGTCACACACGCCTTCTATTTCGTTCTTGCTAACTTTTCTATTACTCTTATGGTAAGAATTGTCTTATTTTCGTGGTAAGTCAAGAAGAATTTTGTTTAATGCATTTCCTTAACGTTATCATGACACTACGATCAACGATGAAAAACCACAAGATGGTTATTTGCACACAGAAATTATACAAACTGTATATTTAAATTATTAAGTTCATTACTTTCTTGCTTTTAGCTTCATTCTATATTCGTCTCGATGGCTTTCGTTGACGCATATGATTGCATCCTCGTCTCGAAGAAAAGTGTTTCAGAGTGCTGCACGTGCACACACGCACTGTCGGGGACTCCCTCGGAAAATCCAAAAATCATTGGCCGCTCGACGCGGTGCGGCGAGCAACGCGCGGAGGAAAGCGATGGAGGTGGCACGTTATATAATTACATCAGGATCAAATGCGTGTCGGATAGATAACTATAAAAGCGGCGAGATTAAAGGATTGGCATGCAGTGCATCCTGGGATCATATCGAATCCCATCATCATGGCAGTTCGTGCTCTTAGCCTAGTGCTCCTGTTTACACTTGTCTCGGTCATCTTCGGATTGCCGACTGTTGTGCCAGGTGAGACAACAGATCATTCATTGCAGAACGCTTAATAATATATTGCTGTGATTATATTTGGTCAACGTTTTTTTATATATGTTTTTTATACATTGCATTTTGATTTTTCAATTTTTATACATTTCAATAATAATTTAACGAATTTAGCATTTAATTCAACGTATTAACGTAAATTGTAATAATCTTTATATGAGAAGTTACATGATTATATTATATATGAAGTTTCTATTAAATTGCCATTATGAATAATTCGCGATCTTTTAGATAAGCTTTAAAACAAAAATAACATTTAATAATGTAAATTTTTCATTTAAATAACATTAACGTTTTAATATTTTTCCATTCAGATTTGCAGAATTATCACTTTACATATTTTATATAGATCGTATTTAAGGGTAAAAGATGTGTATATTATAAATTGTATCTATATAAAATACGTATACATTATAAACGTTTTATTTCATCTTATTATCTATTTTGATGTGAATATTACAGTTCTCTGTTCATTTGTCACAAATTTAAATGTTTCTTTGGAGAATCTGAAAAGCAGCGAGCTCTATAACTTATCCATATGCAACAGGGAAGAACTCTGTTTGTCTTCGAAAATAACAGTGATGTCAGGATGCGCGCGTTGGCACACAAATCCAATCGCTAATTAAAAATTCTCTATACGTCAATCTACGTCAATCGAAGTGTTTTCCTATTTCTATTCGCGTAATGATCCATTCATTTTTTATGCGATTATCAGAGCCAGCTGTAAATACACACGAAGATCACACATTGTCGACTGAATTGCTACCGCCGCCCGTAGACGAGAAGGAACACCATGCTACAATTTATATAATCAATCTGTACGCTGTAAAAAATGCTAGCAGCAACGCGTCGGAGGAAATGTTCCAAAATGAAGTTGTTGAGACGATACCTGACATAATGGGTGAGCGGACTATCAACGAACGATGTCTCATATCTTTTAATAAGAAATTCAATTTGACATTAATTGCTTGCAAAATAACGAGTATCTTATAGGAAACGATAAGTAACGGCGAACGGAGTCGAAGGAATTCTTAGAAGAGATTTGAATAAAAAATATATGCTTGCAGAGCCGCTGGTATCTGTTCTCCTAGTAGTAGAAGACGATGAAGAGGAGCAGATAGAAAAGCATCCACCAGTCGACCTCGACGAATTTGCGGAGGGATTGGAAGGCCAAGGTTTCAAGGTCGACAGGATCGATCTTAACAGCAAGGCGAAAGTGCTTAAGATGAAATTGGAAAAGGCGGAGGCGGAGAGTATGATAGACTCGGCTTTGAAAAGTAATGAGAGGAAATACCGTCAAAAGAGGACCCTCTGCCTGAGGTGCGGAGGAGGGGGAGGAGGATGGGGTGGGTATCCAAGCGGGGGTGGACATTATCCAAGTGGTGGCGGTGGGTACCCGAGCGGGGGTGGTCATTATCCTAGTGGTGGAGGAGGAGGTGGAGGTCATTATCCTAATGGTGGTGGTGGCGCAGGTAAGTTATTGTCCTAATTGCGAAGAAGAAGTAGGTGCAATTAATCGATGAATACTTATATACTAAAGTATATTAAAATACGCCCCAGAACTGGCGTATCCTGCTTTTTTCGTAACAGACTTTCGACTAGTTTCAAACTGACTTCTTTCTAAAAATACATTGCATTTACAGTTAAAATAACAGACGACTGTAGATACACGACTTTCGGGAAACTAAGTTTTACAAAATTGCGTGGATAGCTCGGTTGGAAGAGCATTCGCCCGGCGAGCGGAAGAAAGTCCCAGCTTCAAATCCTGGTCCAGTCCGTTACTTTTCTCGCCGACAATTAATAAGTGGCGCGTCTTATTGCTAGTGTCTACCTCTATTTATTACTATGGAGCGGCCGGGCGAATGCTCTTCCAACTGAGCTATCCAGGCCCACAACAAATGACAAGATTCACATATTTTTTAATTGATTTAAAATTTAATAGAATTTTAATTTAAAGTTTCAATTTAATGAAAAATTCTCTGTAAATTTTAATCTCTAGATCGATCAAAATAAATGTAAATAATATGATAATATTCGACGTGAGTTTGAGAAATTCTATGAGATATACTAAAATTGTTCTTTAATATAATTGACTTTCGGCTGTATATAATAACAGCGATTTTATATATCAGTAATAATAAGTTAATTAAGATTTGAGTCAAAATATATTACATTAATTGTTGCAAACATAATCAGCTTACAATGCATGTTTCTAAGAACTGAAACGCATGTTTAATTAAACTGATTTCCGTCTGCATGTTTTTTACAAGAGCTATTCTCCGTAATTTTTGTACGCGTTATTTGGAATGAAAAATAAGTTACGAAATAAGAAGTAAATTATTAATCGAATACTCGTACGTCATGTTTTGAGGAAAGTCGTTTGAAAATAACGCTTGAACACTAATAAAACTTTTAAGATGCTTAATCGAATGAATTAATGGAAAAGAGAAATTGCATGAACAGTGCTTATTCTTTTTCTGACTACTAAAATTATAATATGTATATTAAGTAAATCCTTTATATATATATATATATATATATATATATATAAGAAAAATATATCAATTAAGATTGACAATAAATTTTTGCTCGCTTAGCTTTTTCAGCTGAAATTTGCAGTTCATACAATAACATGAATTAAATACAACTAAAAGATAAAACTTTCGAATTATATATTAATTCACGGCTACCGCTAAACTTCATCGTAAGCTTAACAGGAGCACGCTTTGTCCAGGGTATCGGCCAGTAGTGATACCAGTTGTAGTCGTACCTATTACAGGAGGCGGCCATGGAGGAGGTCATCATGGAGGCTATCCCCACGGCGGCGGCGGCGGCGGCCGTGGCTGTTACCGTTGCGGGTATTTAAATTATTTCTTAACCGCGATTAAACGTTAATAAGTTGTATATTTAGAATTTTTATATAGCTACGACGTTTCAATCATTTTTGTCGACGATATATTTATAGCTTTGACGTTCGAATCATTTTCCGTTGAAATTGCCATTTATATTTAAACTCGAGTAATCGCAAAAGACAACGTCTTCAAATATCTTGCGACAAGTCAATTATTCTTGAATTATATCTGTATTAAAAATTTTGTACGTTTTTTAGCGGTGGCGGTGGATACGGAGGCGGGGGTGGATATGCTCATTCCTCTGCGTCGGCCCATGCTTCTGCCGGAAGCTGGTAAGGATTTTATCTGAGACGATGGTTTCATTATCGATAGCTTACTTTTGCATCGATTAAAACGTCATTTCCTTTTTTCAGGGGAAAATGAGCAGACTACCTATACGTAATCACGTTAACGTATTGCCATTAATGATTAATGCTGCCTTCATGTTTGATACACGTATACAGTACAAAAAAGAAGCGCGGATTCTTTGAATGCTATGAATCATCACGAATAAGCGTTGCGGGCATTAACATAATCTTCGAAAATAGCTTTAAAATATTGTATAATAGCGTAACGCGTTTTCCTCTTCATCCGTTTGTATAACAGGCACTTGTACTGGCGCACGGTGGCCGCGAATAAATAACAAAACTGGTTTGGCTCTAACAAAAATCACGATTCCCTGCGTTATTCGGACGTAAACGACTTCTTAGAAATAATTACGAGGTTCGTGATTAGTTTTTCATGGATCTTCAGCGGAAGAAGCGCTGCGTGTTAACAAGACGTGTTGCGTCTGCACTCTTCGCGTGGCTTTAATAGTCCATTAATTTCTACGCTTCACGATAAAGCTGCATTTATGGTAATAAGACAATCCATCATCACTATTATCTCGTTTTTTTTCGTCAACTCGCAAAATCCGCGAAACCGGAAAGTTTTCTCGGAAAAGACCTTCATGTCCCGAGGAATTCGCTAATTTCTTCTTCGTACTTTGTGCAATTAAATTTTGCACCGCGATCACGTCAGAGCTTCGAAGATATTAGTCACAAGAGATTATCTTTTGAATAGAACAAAATGAAAGCCGTAGACAAGTAAAAGTCATACGTGTAAGTCGTGTGAAAGAGATTACAATTCGACGATAAAGCGATAAAGTTCCGCGTCCAGGTTCGTGAAGCGTAATGCATGCTCGAATCCGTTCCGCATTATATCACATGGAACCCGTTCCGCATTATCAAACCGTTGTAATTCACTGGTACCCGCAGCCGGCGGTGGCATAATCTCGCTCTTCTCTCGCGTAGCGTTCCGCGATCGGCGTCATAAGTAACTCACGCGCGTTTCCATCGGCGGGATTTAAACGCCACGGCCGCAACCGGGCTCTTTATAAATACGACCGGTATGAAAGCGGCGCGGCGGCAGCGGCGGCGGCACCGCAGCATCCGCGGAACGATTTCAGCGATGCGCCGGTCGACTGTCCGTAACAGCGAGTGGCAACAGTAATTATGGCGCGAGTTGAATGGATGTAACGGTAAAGTCTTTCGATTCCTTTCTTCATCTTTCCGGACAGAGAGAAGGAGGGTACGCGACGCGGAACGAATTACCTCGCCGAAACGCGAAGCCGGATCGAAACACGATCGGAAGCGAGCTCCAGCGGACAAGCGTTATTCATCTCGCGATGCAGCCGGGCACGCTCGCGCTTGGAGCCGACGAGCCCTTCGGGCAACCTTATAGGCGCGATTAACCGCTGAAAATAAGAACAGCGTGTCCAAAGCGCGAGGAGAGCAAATATAAGGAACGTAATTCGCTTCATGCCGACTAAAGTGGCCTATTCGCTGGTCATTTGCTGTATGCGTCAGCAGCTAGGTTTTTTTTTCTATTAATTTCACGGTCGTAACTACAACAATTACGGATTCCGTCTGAAATTCTTTAGGATTGCCTTTATCTACATCTCGCCTACCGTCGCACTCCACTTTTCGTTTTTCAAGACTCCGCCTTCGGAGCTGCTATTATTAAAATTGAGGTCAGGAGATCCATCACAAGAAAGAAAAAGATTTGACACAGACCAAAAAGTAAAACATAAATAATTAAGTAGAAGAGAAAGAAAGAATACAGAATGAAAATAAAAATTATTTGTAACGCGAAGTATGTAATTTGCCAATGTGCGCTAAATATGAGAAATTCCAGACGTATCTGTCAGTGGAAAATTATTTCAAAATTTGATATAATTAAAAGGAAGTGCAATTTTCATTAAAACGGCAATCTGGTTGATTAAATCTGTGCGAAACCGACTCCGAGTGCAACGGAGAGATTTTACGAATTAAAAACTTGTTCGGAACTCTGACGTTTCCTTGGAAGTGCTGGACAATAATAAGTGTAGATGGTTTTGCAAGAGCGACAGCACGCAACGGCCTGGAGAAAATGTGGGTCTACAGGTCGTCAAACACCCATTGACTCCGATCGATCGCCATCGTAAGCAAGGACTCTTCTTCTACAATCGCGCGTATTTTCTGGTCGTTGACCGTCGTCGGCCGGCGAACTCCGTGGGCTCTGCGACCACAAGTTGCTCTACTGCCAGGAAAAACTGGGCGAACCAGGGACAGGATGTAAAAACTTACTCGGACGAGTGAAGTAATTGTACGTTCGGCGGCCTCCCCCTCGGCTTCTCTCGGAGCACTCCGAAAGTGCCAGAAATTCGCATGTGCACGCCACTTTCAATACACATCTTGTTAAACATCACGAAGTGTGCTTCGGATGTTGCATTTAAATAATAGGCGACTAGCGTCCTAACTAGGCAACGCATAATTATATTTCTGGCATGTAACATTGCCAATTTGTATCTTGTCTTGTCCATACAACGAGATTAAGTACACTAGAGTTTTCTTAATATACACTCTTGTTTTCTTTATCGTCCATCAACGCTAGTATTGTCCGAACGTTGTATTTTGTATATGTATTTAGCGACCATAGGCCACAAATATGTGAAGCATAATACAAATAATTTACACGGATTTTATACTAGAAATATTTGTTAAAAGGGAAAAAGATTTGTTTTGTAGAGTTCATTTCTTCAAAAGTAGCATATTTTGAACTTGGTAATGCCGTTTGTATTAATAATTTATGCAGCTCCAGATCATTTATATCCGTTATATTAAAACGTCAAAGAATCATTAAATTATTATCATTAAAAATAATCGCGACAGGTTAATGATAGTCTCTGCCTATAAGTCAATATACCAGCTAATCCCATGAGATTGATAAGGAAGTTATTCCAGCTAAAACCGGATTTATGCGACTGAAACTAATTAACGGTTTCTACATCGTATCATGTCAACGAACGACAAGGTATTAAACGGCAGGAAATAAAAAGGCCATAGATCAAGATTATAATCAGACTGTCGCCTAAAAATGCAGTGATACAATAATTATGAAATAACGTTCCCGCGAAATTGAGTCACGTATTATCGTACGCACAAGAATATCGGCTCCATACGCAAATACTTCACAAAGATATTGTGAATTATCTGTCGACAAGATTAGTTCAGTTTTTATCCCTTTCAATAGGCTCTAGAATTCGAGAGCAAACACGCCCAACCATTTGAAACATTAATCACTGTCTGTTGTGGCACGCGATCTAATCCGCTACTCCATTATTTCACTTTTTGTGACGATAACATGTATCAGTGCTGTCGGTAGATTAATGGCGTTACCGTGGATACGCCGGGCAGGTGAATGGGCCCACATCCTAGATACACTCGCCGCAGGTGCGAGAGTAAGTCGTCTAATCTCGCTTGTACGAAATAAAAGGTTTCGTGTAATCGCCATTAACCCTTGCGCTCGTGCGTTGAATTATGCTCGGCACGCTTCGTCGGATCTCACTGTAATACCCAATGCAATTTTCATGGGCTCATCTCGATGATCATATTTGAATATCCAGCCAAAATGTCTCGCGCGAAAACGCAGACTTTTATGTCGCACAGTGATGGGCAGAATGGTTGCAGCACTTTTTCAGCGAGTTTAGGAATTACGTGCATTTAGATTCAGGTTTACATTCCAAAACATTTTCTCTGAGGAAAAGTTTCCTCGAAACGGCCATCGAGCAAAATATTCCGCGGAGAAGAAGATTTTGAAACGTAACCCTGAATCTAAATGCTGCACTTACCTAAAGTCATTAAAAACAAAAAGTGTTGCAACCATTTTGTCCATCACTGTACATCATCGCTGAATGAAACGTTCATTTATGAATCTTGCATTTGAACGAAACATTTCTATATCCTTCCAATTTTAGTTTATCATAAAGATGGACAATAAGGAATGAAACTAATTTCCCTTAATTAATATGAATTATTCGCATTTACTTATTAGAGACATTGGAATCTCCTAATATAACTAATGTTCTAAATTTAATTATAGTGGCTGAGTATTAATAGAACAGCGTGTAGTTTTATTTTAATGTAATTCGAGGCACGTCTACATAAAATATGGGATATGTCAAGCGGCATGTACTTCACTAACGAGAGCACTCGCAGCCGTCCCATACCCTTAAGCGTGATCACCTGTTAGCATCCGTCCAGCATCAGCAATAATCGTAATAACGATAAGATAGCAACTGGACGGGATGAAATATTATCGTTTCGTCGCGGCGCGATCACATACGAGCGCGGAGTCCTCGCCTCGTTTTCTGCGGCTCGACGCCGCGTGACTCAAGATCGCCGGCGATTAGAGCGACTTTAATTTAATCCTCTGGGAGTCTCAGGGGGTCGTAAAGGGAACCGGTTGCCTACGATTGGAATTTGCATAGGAAAGCTCGCGATACCGCGATGCGACGCGCGAGCGGCGTCGCACGTTTATCCTTCTCGCTCGTACGCGTCGCGACGGAACGCTCCTTTTATCTTCGCGACCGGCGAGACGCGGCCGCGTAACATTTTTCAGGCGGCGATTCCGTGTCCAAACGGGAATTCCGTGCTAACCGATTGGCATGCAATAACCGCGTATTCGCGCCTACGCGTGCTACTTTGTCGATATTACGACCGGAATCGAGGTCATCGCGATTTTCGAAGATAAACGCGCCTGGGAAAGCGAAAGAGCGAAGCTCGGCAGAAGCGTAATCAGGTGTATCGAAAACCGTAAATCAAGCGATACAAGATCGGCAAACCTGGAAGATATGGAATCGGCGACCTTCGCCGATATACCCAACCGGCCTAGATCACAATAGAGCCATCCTGCTTGGCAATTGCAATTGATCTAGTCCACGTTCGACATAACACGCATGAGCCGCATGAGGATCAAGCGCGACTAGCAATTATTCATAAGTCGCTGCGACAACGCGCCAGGAATTAATCCAGAATGCGATTGCGTTTTAATCACGATACCGCCTCTGACTGTCGATGCGCTCTTTTTCCTAACTGGCTGCGTCAACATTGTCGTAAAACCATTTGTCACATTGCCTACTGCTAGAAGCCCGTACCTACTAATTTTATGAAATTGCGCGTTTCGGTTGCGATACGTTTGTATCCAACAAGTTTAGTCTGCAATTTATGTGTAATCGACTCTTATCAGCCATTTATTTATAGCCGTATGATTGAATATCGCTTGTGGCTAAACGATACTGATCTTCGTAGTATCAAACTCGTTTCTCGAGAATTGTGTGGAAATACTGTGTGCTGTGCAGCAACGCAATTGAAAATACAATTGCACGTCGAAATTCTACAATAGAATCAAAGGAGTATCAGACCCCGTAAACCCAGTACGCTATTTTATTAGACGAGATTACACGCGCACGCATCGGACGATTACGTATATGCGCGCACATGTACTTGTCTATATTCGTCAGTTACACCTTCCCTTGCTCGACTCGATCGAGCGGAAAAGGGGCAGCGATCAACTGTGATGTACTATGATTGAGTGATTATTATAATACGAAATGTAAAGTGACACACTTCTAGTTTTTTCCACTGTATTATGCTGTCTTGATAAATTGCAAGATAAATTAACTGGAACTGATTGTTCCTGTAATATCGTATTTTTTAATATTATAATAAATTACACAAGACCGTGCTCTCGAAAAGTCAATCAATGGATTATCACTGAAAACAGTGAATAGTCACTGATTCGCGATTATAAGTGTACTACTTAAACTCGCAGTGGTATATTTAGAACTGTAAATCAGTGACTATTCACTGTTTTCAGTGATAATCCACTGATTGACTTTTCGAGAGTGTAAAATCATATTTACTCTACGAAATTTCATTAATACAGTATCCTGTCCCCGTTACTTTTCACACTTATACTTGTATCGTCACTGCATCAGCTATTACGGCATTACGCGATTGGAAAAAAATATATAAATATTTTATATCGTAATATGTTTGGATAAAAATTTAATTGTGTGTCTATCTTTTAGTGAGGCAGGAACTCCCCCGACCTCGCGAATTAATTTATACGAACGGCGCGGCTGATTCTTACTTCGGTCTAGTGGAAGAGCAGGTACAACTTGTTACTCGAAGTGACTCGTTTCGCAGCCTATCAAGGCAGGCCAGTAGAAATGGCGTAAAATGGAAAGTGACGTAATTTTAAATCTCCCTTGGATGCTGTCACGCGAGCAAGCGAAGATGATAGCTGATTCTCGCACCTGTCATCACCTTTGCGAAAGAGACGCATTGATGCGACGAACACGCGAGACTGAGGGTCGAGTAGTGATCATGACCTTTCCCCCCCGATACATCAATACTCCCAAGGCCCGTATGCATCGCGATAAGACGCTATTAAAAGAAGATACGGAAAGGGAGAGAAGTTGAAGTCTCATCATCTTCTAATGGAATATAATTGCCCATAGAAAATTATTTTTCCATTATAAGAATTGTGTTTAGAAAAGTATTTCGCTGTGGCTACATTTTTCGAATAAGACGGATTTTCTAGATCAAAGACAACGGTACATTTGCCTAGAGATTTTTTATGAGAAAAAAAATCTTCCGAGAATATTTATTTTAATATTTTATCACACAATGGGTTCACTCGTGTGGAGTTCACTGAATTAATCGCAGAAAATTTGAAATATTTCAAATATATTTCATGGAAATAAGAAGTAGGATGCTATACGATTAGATATCTTCATTTCGCGTTGGAATTACGCGGCGGGGAAAATATGCGGTTAAGATTCTTAACTTATAATAATATAAATAGCGGATCATATTTCATATTAATTCCTTCGCGCACCGGCGCTATTATCTGAATTATGTTCTTCGCGATAACGCATTTACACGGGAACGATTACATTCCCGTTTGAGCCCGCGAACAAGCGCAGACAGCTCTCGCATCTGCGGCCATAGAATTAGGAATTACCATAGCTTAGTCATCTGTATAAAATAGTAACATAGTTTTTCATCGTAGGAAACGCCCCTCGGCAAAGTGCAATTTATATCCAAATTGTGCGCGACACGCGTGACAACTTATTCGCGCTTTCGCGGCTTAATTCAATTATTCCACAAGACGAGATCGATGGATAATATATGTATATCGAGAGAATTGAAATAAAATAACTCTTATAAAACCATAATATTTCTTACACTAACAAAGATAGAGGAAAAACGTTTTAGTCACGGAGGAATAACACGAAAATCTAAATGTTAAATTACCGTATCACCAGCGGTGAGGATACATCGTGAAAAACAGGTAGTATTGTCGTATTACTGTATCAAAGTGAAAAAAAATCAGAGCTACCACGTTGCTACCGGTAACACACTTATAGAAGATTTCAGAAGACGAAGTCTGCAGGGGAAAAAAAGCGATACAGTTAACGGTAATTGGCCGAGTGGGTTTGCTTGTTAATGTGCTTTAACAGTCTGAATCCTACCGAGGTAAAAATAAGGATTTGCATTTAATGTCAACACCTTAACGTCGTCTGCCGTCCGTCGTTGCCGTTGTCGTATCTCAGAGATGTTGCTCTCGGTTCAGTATTGCAAGACGATTCTATTAAGACGCCTTGCTTCATCATTACGAGAGGAAAAGGAAACCTGTCATCTGTCCGATGCCGTCTGTCCGACGCCGTCTGTGTTGTCATTTTTTAATCAGAGTGTCGTTGTCGGTTAACGGATGTTTGCGATAAAAGTACCTTCTTTATGTTCAGACGTGTAAAATTTTATGCGTTACGGTGATTTCGAAGTAAATTGCTAGGTCATATAACACGTTAATTAAATAAACGTGCGGAATATATAAGACGGATATAACGCGCCAGGTATTTCTGCTCACAATGTAGATAGTTATCAATGATTTATCGAATTTTATTGTGTAGATCGATCATGAGTCTTTAAAATGTATATGATCGATTGTATAATCAGGAAGAATCTAAAGCCAACGGCACAAAATACTATTTTTCCTACTGGATTGTTTACGAGGGCCAATAAGGATGCAGAGTTTTAAGCCAGACGAGAGTCAAGCAGAATTTAGATTTAAATCACCTGATCTAAAACTCTGCATCCTTATTGGTTCACGTAAGCAATCCAGCAAGAAAAATAGTACCGTGTGCCGTTGGCTTTAAAGCTAAATCCTGATTGGCTCCCGTAAGTAAAGTAATTGTATTGTCATTTTCGCCCTTATTACGGTGCAGACAATTTACCGTACACGCATCTTCCATCTTTACATTTGTTGAGAAATGTCATTTTACTAGATACATCCAAAGTGTTAAATTATTATTAAAAAAGAACTGAGATCTACTCGTATATCGTTTGAAGTAACTTTGTATGTTACGCGTGAAACGCGGCGATCGTTTGCGCGCAAAACCTGTCATCATTATCGGCGCGTAAAGGTAGGGAATTGCGATAAGTTGCGCTCGTTTGATCCGATTGCCAAAAATAAAGGAGAGTTCGACTTTTTGTTTTAATATTAACGGAACGGCGTTCCTGAATCGATGCTAACCCTGAGGGGCCTCTCCGTAGCATTAGCTAGAGGGTAGGGGACCATACATATAAAGGAGAGAGCCCCGTGCTCCGGGGGCCCAGTACCGTTCAAAGATGCAGGCTGCCGGGACGCTGCGTGGTACCAGGGCCATCTCCCTTCTGGTACTCCTGGCACCTCTCATTGGCTATGCCTGTGAGTAAAAACACAACATTCAAGACGTTTCCCGCCCGGACGAGCATTGATATGTGACACGATAATACGCAACCACGTAGTGGAGGATCAGTGTTGTGCAGTGATCGCAATTCGGGATTATAGCTAGTGCGCTACTTCGAAGATCTTAAGCGACGTCGCGAATAGTAAATTTCGAGAGTTACATATGTTTGCTTAAATTATAAAATAAGCTAAAGAAGACATAAATTCAAATACATCGTTTTTTTTTAATTATACGCAAGTGTAAATTGAAATATTTTAATGAATTGCACATCGACAAAGCAAGAAAAATTTCAAGTTCTTCAGTTATTATCCAGTGGAGTTTATTTTTAACTATATTCGAATTTATTTATTCAAATAAAGAAATATCAAAATAAATTTAAGTAAATATTAAAATGCAGAAAAATATAACAAAAATTATCATTTTTCCATAAAAGATTCCATAAAAAATTAATGGATTCTAAAGTAACATGTATCGTTGAGAGATAGAATTTATAATTATTAAAATTAATAAAAACTAAATGTTGAAAAAAAAATATTTTCATTAAATTCCAAGAATTTTCCATATTAAAATAAACGTAGCCGCATGAGAAATTGCGCAGACTGAGAATTCAAAAAGAATTACATACGTAATTTTTACCTTTATATTTCTTCAATTTAGAAAAAATTACAAAATTTCGCAACGGAGATAAAAGCTGTTCAGCTAAATCAGTGAAAATTACAACTTACGATTCACAGATGGTGGGATTTATTAACTGAGCGCTTAGCTAATCCCTATCACGCGATTAAATATCCGCATTGCTATCATAGCCAATAAGCTCGTCTTCCCAAGTGAGCATTTCCACCGCAATCATCCGTATTAAGCATACACCATTTCTCACCGCCTCGTTTCAACTAGCATATTCGACTTCTTCTAGATTCAAGTCCCATTCAATATTTGCCCAGCATCCCGGGATACATTCCTGTTTATATAAGATACGGAGATGAACCGTTGGAGGGAATAAATCCCGAGTTGGCCGAAGCTTTCGGAGAGACGTCGAATTCGGTTAAGGTATCAATATTCTGATAATTAAGAGAGAGACAGATGTCGACTTATCTTCAAAGTAATTTCTAAGTGCCGCGTAAATCGAGATAAATTTTACAGGGATATTAATCTCATACCATACGATAGAGTTTGCAGAAGATAGACCACACGCTCGCTCACGAGTCTGACAATTTCAAAGATGGCGACATAGACACTTTTTTGGAAGAATCCAAGAATGAGCATGCCTATCCGTTGCACGTTCGAGCAGCGGAAAGTCGATCGTTCGCCAACGAGCCAGGGGACTCTAATAAACCAAAGCTTCTAACTATTTATACGTTACCTGACGATAACGAAAACAGCCCACGTAGACGTTATCGAGGAAGATCTAGGCTAAAGAATTCTAGAAAACGGCCCGCGTTTAAGGTACAAAAATAATTAATTATAATCACGAACCTAATTAGTTCTACCCGCTTCGATAAACAAAGGTTCTCAAGAGAAATTTTAGGAGACAAATAATTTGCATTAACTTGAGATGAATTTGAAAATAATAAGTACGATATAACGTAGCATTTGTTCGTAGCGTACGGATAAAACCTCATCGATGACTCAATGGGCATTTATCATCCTGTAATACTTTTATCATTAAAAATAAAGATTGCTTCATGTTAATTGTATCCGCGGCAAACAGCGTTTAACTCCGAGAAAAAGAATTACTAATTTGAATATAACGCATTTTCAATTTCTGCACATCTATCTTGTTTGACGTACGCGTATAATCTAAAAGAAAAAATCTCTTCGAATTACCTGATGTTGTTTGTCGCTTCATCGACACGCGGCGACGCATTTAAAGATCCTATCTACGCATGATTGAGCTTTATAAGCCGGTATGCGGTAATGCATAAACGAGTAAGCATCTTTAACTTATTTTTAATATAGTAGCTATATACAATGTGCATTTGTGCCCGAATCGATTGCTTTATTTATTCGCAATTCAACTTTTTGAATAAGTTATAAAATAATGCCAGTTTAAGAAATACGTGTTACGAGATTTCTCTTAATTTAACAAATGTTATGTGACACGCATAAATTTTCAATTTTTCTAAATAATCTCTTTGCAATTTCAAATAATCAATATATAAAGCTCAATACGCGTAAATAGGATGAGCGTGAATCTTTAGACGCGTCAGATACCGCATGTCGATGAAGCAAGATATTCAAGAAAAAAAAACTATATACAATGTTGCTTCTTACGTTACATAAAATAGGAAATTTACATATTCTGTAGGCCAATCCACTCTCCGACGAAGAAAAGGAAGAACTGGAAAAGTTGGCGATCGAGGTAGAAAAGGAGGAGACCAGACCGAATGAACTCTATGCTCCAAATCCCAGATATCCTGGATCACCGTCGAAGAGTACGCACAGTCGACACGGAACGCATAATTTTATCGCGCCGATAAAGCTGCAAGTTCCGCTCGACGAGACTTTGACAAATCTACCGAAAATCCCTCAAATCGCCGATTTTTCGGATTACGATGTTGCTACAACCGACGCGGAGAAAGAGGAACTGCCGATTAAAGGGCTACGCCCAGTTACAGCTTTGTCTAACGTAGATAAAGTGTCGCCCATCGAGCTACCAAACGAAAATGAAACTAATAGAAACACTATATCTGAAGGTGATCAAGAGAAGCCACTTATTATGAAGATAGATCTGCTGGAAATACCTCAAGATACGGATCTTTCGAAACCTTCGTGCGATCACCAAATCGCTACGACCGACACTGATGAAAATGAGCCGCCCATTAAGATACAACGTCCGACAACATTTTTGTCGAATGTAGATAAACTCTCGCCCATCGATTTGCCAAACGAAACCAGCGGAAAGAAAGAAATGAAAGACTCTACGCGGCATGCCGACGAAGTTGCAAATTAGATAATCAAAGCTGTAATAATTTTTTTTATAACTTGTTTGTTGCAATAATATTGGATGTTCCATTTATATTCTGTTTCAACCGTAAATTTTTCAAAAATGTCTCGGAGTCACATTTTTCTTGACATAATTCACGAGCAGACATTTGTCGCAATGCTTTCGCAATCGTCTCGACGTTAATTGTCGACGTGAACGAATAATTAAAATAATTTTGCTAAAAGTTACTTCGCGGCATAATTCGATTTGTTATAAAATTCGTGATAAGGAAAATCTTGATGTGTCAAAGTATTTACAGTTGAAATATGTGGTTGTTTATGGACATCCTGTGTATTATAAAAACAATAAGCGCAAATCACTTGGAAGGAAGACATTTCTATGATTTTAGCTTGTGTTATTTATGACGAGACATTGCTATTTATGCTCACAAAGAATACTTTATTACACTAAGGACTTTCCAGTTTTCTAAGTAACTGTTATTGCTCCCGAGTTTGTAAAGTTGGTTTTGCACATTGTAAATTATGTTAATGATGAAACCACCGTGTAAAGTTATCTTCAAATGTTTCTAATAAAACCGCTGTCGCAAAATTATTCACAATAGTGAATGCACAAATTTGTATGTTTTCTTTTTACGTTTCACCTATCATTTACATAAAGAAACAATTTATATAAATAATACACACGTTAAATTAAAAAATTATTAGGCTACCTCCAGCTTGCCCGGACCTAAATATGATTTGGCGTTCTCGTTTCTATTTGAATAATATTAATATCGTAGGGCACGATAGTTTCGAAGATTGCTTTCTTAGATATGTGTCTATAATTGTTTTATATTACAAAGCACTCTAGTATTCCTTGCTACAGAAACGCCGTTTCGTAAATGCGGATTCTCGCGCGGTATTTTAAATATTTGCTATTAAATATCGTTGGGTCTAAATGGGATTCAATTCTAGCAATCTTCGATAAAGCAGCAATCAAACGATCCGTTCTTCCAGGAGAACTCCTTCATTTTTTTCATACCGATAACATTTTGTCACTTGATGACTCAAGGTCAGAATTTTCTGAACTTTTATCGATATTTCGGAATTTAGGGAACAAATCAGATCTTCTCCCAGTGAGAAATGATTCGACACCGTTTCGACATAGATTGACGAGTTATTTCTCGCTGGGCTGTTTAGACGATTAACAACCTTCGCGTCAATATCAATCCATCGTTTATCTTCCGTATTATTCACGGTATTATTTACGGTGACCCATCAGAGTGATGGCTTCCCGTCAGAATGAAATTCGCCAACAGCAGGAAAATCATTAAGCGTATTGACATTGTTCCACAAAGCTAACGGGATTTTCTTCGAGTGCGGTACGTGTGAATTAGTCCTCGCTAGAAAGCGGCGGGAACAACGCGAACGGGTGTCCGCGACGATTGCGGCTGTGTCGCAGAAGATACTGACGGAAAAAATTAAGCTCGCGTGAACGCACGAACGAACGAGGTTGCCGGAGAACGACAAATTGGACTGTTACGTTCCACGCCTTGACTTCCTGTGCACCGACCCTATCTCCTCTTCGCTTCCCACAAAATCTTTTTATTTGACCAAATAACAGAGCGTATACCCGAGGAATTACAATCAAATTTCTCATATCAAAATTAAGTAACGAACTTGTTCAATTGCAATATCCTCGAACACAACTCCTAAATATAATAGCGATAGTTGAAAAATAATTATTTTCTAATTTTACACAAATTGAGAAAAGCATAAAATATTAATTGACCGAAGACATAACACGATTTTTGTTATTGACTGCTGTACATCAAAGTGGCCAATGTTGACCACTAAGGGCCAGTTTCACAAACGTCGTTTAACCGCTAACCCATGGTTAATTGATCCTCTGTCTCTTCTTGGATAACAAGATAGAGAAAGATAGGAAGTCGACTGAACTCTGGTTAACAGTTAACCGACGTTTGTGAAACTGGACCTAACTCGGCGTATCCCTTCGTTGGGCCAGATTGAACATACCTTTCGTTGCTCCCGGCCATACAGTCTGGTCATTTTGACCAGAGATCAGGAAGAAAGAAAACTCCTTCCATAGTCGGCTATCGTCACCGACAAATATTTCATACGGTTCGAATATACGAGTGACGATCGTATCGCAAAATGCACGACCACGAGAAGTTAATTAAAAGAAAAATATTAATTCAAAAACTTTACGATATGTACGAATCAAATTTATTTTTACTTCCGTTGTTTATTTAAACATATTGATCATCTCTTCGTAAAATGATCTTTGAATTCAAAAGTCGAATAGATATAACAAAAAATTTACTTCGCGTCAGAGTGATTTTAATCATATTACTCGATAAATTAAAATTTATAATATGGATAAAATTAAGTATAATAATTAATAATTAATTAAAATTTTTTCCTGAAAAACCGATCGCGAAAACCGA